AAGAGTCCCAAATAAACCCTCTTCCTTTTGACTCTGGAGAAACAACAGACCAAGAATGGAAGTCTTATCCAGAACATCTTGACAAAATTGAATCAAATATGTAAAAGCATATCTAAGAGGAGGAAAGTACTGGTTAATTACACCAAAAACCATTTCCAGGTTTTGAAAAAAGGTCTTAATAGTAGGAGGTGAGGGAGGTTTTAGCAAAAAAAAACCAACACACTTAATTCTATACAATCCATGTGAACAGCTACATTCCTGATCTTTAAAAAAAAAAAAAAGAGAAAACAGCCCAAAGAGGCAGAGTGATGTGTAATAGCAAATCACTTGTTAATAGCAAACTGCTCTGGAAGGCTAATGGGGCAAAATTCCAGCCTCTGGGAAGAGTAAAACACTCAGCCAGGATTTCTTTTACTGTAATTACTTGAAACTGGTACTTCTAGAGATTCCTTTGATATCTTAGTTTTAATTAGTTCAGCTATTCTGTCTTTGACAAGAACAGATAAGAAACCTTTGCATCGTAAACATAAATAAGGACCACAAGAAACTTAGGGATGGAGCAATTTCTGCCTCAGCAGCATGGTGCAAGGGTAGTTGGCATGGTAAGGCTCTCTTCCTTTCTCTTTTGTTCTCCACCTATAACCCAGTCAACTGCTGCAAGTGCAAACAGAGCAGAGAGCTCACTAACAGCTGGAAACCACAAGCCCACCTTGCGGAAGGTTCGGTTCTGGCGCTGGAAGGGAAGGCTGGGGAAGCCCATCCGAGCTGGCTTTAATGAGACCCCAACAGGTGGTGGCCCCAGGAGGGAATGTCTTGTAGCCTGAGGGAAGAACTGCTGCAGTGCTGGTGCTGTCATGTTAAATCCACGCAGGTTTCCTATCAATGCAAAGACACAGCACATCACCACCCTGCAGTGTGATCCACAATCTTCCACCTGGACAAGCAGCAGGGAGAGAGGGGAAAGGCTCCTCCACATGAGAACCTAAACTTTCCTGAGCACTGCAAGGGTGGTCTAAGCTCTACCCTCTCCAGCACCCACAGAGCAGAACTGGATGTGATAGCAACCATTACCAAGTATTGGGCTATTTAATTATAATTGCCACTGCAGGCTAAGATTATTAAAGCAATTATTTGATCTGAGCATACTAGCTCTTGTATTTGCAGCAAACAAGCACTCATTTTACAGAAATTATCTCTAAAAAAGGAAAATTCAGCCCACATTTGTGCAGCTGGCAGCTCACACCATAGCATGGTTGCTGCTTCACACAACCCAGGAACAGCATTTCATTTAAAACAACATTGGACTTTTCAAACCAGAGATTCCACAGTCCTCTGTGCCACCTGGTTATCATGCAACCTCAACATGTCTGACAGCCGTAACTCTGACGCTTCAGACCCTGCCACTTCCAATGATAATGCTCTGCCTTCTGAGCAGCTCCTTTCAGCATCCACAGACTATTAACCAAGTCTCAAAAATTTCTGAGGAAGGCAAAGCCCCTGCTATCCCCATTTCAGAGTTGAGAGAATGGAAGTGCACAGATGCCTCAGCTACACCCTCAGAAGCTATCCACCATCTGGGAACCCGGACTTACACTGCAATTTTTTTCTCACTTGAATTAGTGCATACTCTGGCTTTTTAGGAGCTCTCACAACAGGCCAGAGACCTTTGGAGACAGGCACCCAAAACCTGAAAAATCAAGCTGTCTAAAGTCTGCAATACAATAGGAAGTATTCCCCTATGTTTGTCTTTAAAAGTAATCTAATCTCTTATTATATACCCTAAATAACTTCTTGCTGCAAAAAGCCACAGCTGTATTAAAAAAAAACATCTATAAGGCAAGAAATCATCTCCTGCTCTTGGTTTAGCACCTTTAAAGAACAACACACTCACTTTGACTTGAAGTATTTATCTTTCCTATTCCCACTGCTGAAGCCACATCAAGTCAATGAATTATTTACACTGATGTTTCCCAGGTACAGAAATACTACAGCATCAGATATTCTTACATGTAACCTAAACCTGAATGAGCAAAAAACATTCAGATTCCTATGAAGGGCAACACTGAACACTGCAACTATATGTTCCCTGTGGCTGGCTGGTGTAGGTTATTGAAAGAGAAGTCAACTCATCCCAGTACATAGAGGGGAAAAGAAGAGGAACCATGCTAAGCCAGAGTGCATGTAAAGTGT